TTTTTTTTTTTTTTTCGAAGGTACGCCATAGGAAACGCGGAAAGACCAACGTTGAAGAGCAAAGTTGGCTGGCTCGATATCCTGGCCAACGACACGCATCAATTTTATTTTCACAACAACACCGGAGGGCCAAGTATAAGGGTATGAATAATCTCACGAAACAGTAGATTCACTTTTTAACATCGTTTCTTCGTGGCCAATCTAGCGTCACGCGAAACGATCAGAACGCTCGTTTTATTATTCTATTAAAGAATCGAATGACAGTCCCATTGATTGATCGTTCCGACTAAACCGCCTTGCGTTTGTCCATTTTCTAGAGCCGCTATATCACAGCACTGTATTTCACCTTTAGTAGTTTAACATCGGTCGGCTTTGGAAACGTGGCTCCAAACACCGACGCCGAGAAGATATTTACTATAATCGTTATGCTAATCGGATGTAAGTATCGATTAGAATGATGTAATCGTGTTAATGAGTTGTCTCACGAGTCTCTCTCGGTTAATCAATGTTGCCTCTCTCTATCTCTCTTTTTCTCTCTTTCTTTTATCACACCTGAACTTGATAATAATTATTGATAGAATGTTGATAGAAATTTATGCTTCTATGAATGTAATTGAATCGGGTTCGAGATGCAAGAAAAAAATTCCAATCTTCAAAATTTGAAACGTGTATTTAATTTGAAATATATTTATTATTGGACCCCGCTGATAATTATTATTTATTATATATAAAGAATTATATAATACGAATATAAAGAATTATGTCCTAATTATTATTATTCTAACAATTCTAAGAATATTGTATAATAATTATTATATATTACAATTAATCTTAATAATTATTATTTATTACAAAGAATTATATAGTATATCTCTGTAATCTTTAATAGATATATCTTATTGTATTTTAATATAATATGATAATAATAATCAATTCTGATAAGCAAACTAGAAAATAATTCTAATTTGTCTACAAATGAATTAATCGAGCGACATTTTGTTTCAGCTTTAATGTACGCCAGCATCTTTGGTAACGTTTCGGCGATTATTCAGAGGCTTTACAGCGGTACAGCAAGATACCACACGCAGATGCTTCGAGTTCGCGAGTTCATCAAGTTCCATCAGATCCCTAATCCGCTTCGTCAACGGTTGGAAGAGTACTTTCAACATGCTTGGACGTACACGAACGGAATCGATATGAACAGTGTTCTAAAAGGATTCCCCGAGTGCCTTCAGGCGGACATCTGTCTTCATTTGAATAGAAATCTTTTAAACAACTGTAGAGCCTTCGAGGGTGCCAGTCCTGGTTGTTTAAGGTATTAACATAACTATATGAAGTAAATTTCTTATGGAGGAAAAATGTAGTGAAATTTTAAACTTAAAAAAAAATAATATTCGCCAACGATACGAATTATTGAAAGCCACAAAATTAAAGTATCACTAAATTATAACTAGATTTTTCAATATTTAGATTATAAAATTTAGATTATATTTCTTCAATTATTTTCTCAGAAATATGAATTTTCGTGAAAAATCCACGCTGTAGACTTTTGTGGACTAGCATATAGAACTAATCAATAGTTAATAATAGTAATATTTTTTAGCATTTATTTGTAAACAGTATGAATAATATATACCTAAACGTAATGAATTATATTGAATTAATTGACTAACGTTGTTCCTCTTCTCTCGTCAGGGCGTTATCATTAAAATTTAAAACGACACACGCACCGCCCGGTGACACGTTGGTCCATCGAGGAGACGTGTTAACGTCCCTGTACTTCATATCGCGCGGCAGCATAGAGATATTGAAGGGCGACGTCGTGATGGCGATCCTGGCCAAGGACGACATATTCGGGGAAAATCCTTGCATATATCCGACCGTTGGCAAAGCGTCATGCAACGTACGCGCATTGACGTACTGTGATCTTCACAAGATACACAGGGACGATTTACTCGACGTTCTGGCTCTTTATCCGGAGTTTTCCAATCACTTTAGCCAGAATCTCGAGATCACGTTTAATCTGAGAGACGTACGTATGTTCTTCTCTATTCACGATTCATAGTGAATTTAATGTGGTATTGATTGAAGAGGGATGTTTTAATTAAAGAGGATATTAAGTTTGATTATTGCCTGGAAATTGTACTTGTTTCCAAGAAACAACTTACCATTATAGACGCTCCTTTTTAATATTAACACGATGAGAGTCTAAATTACGTTATTAGTTGTTCAGGAAGTTTAATTAATGGTGTTTCTTTTTTAAACAACTTATCTATAAAATGATTATGACAGTCGAACTGTTTAGAAACAAATTAACTTCACAAATTGAAAGACAGACAAAAATAACGATATTTCGATTGTCTTTGGAAATTATAGAAATTTACTCAAATATTTACAAAACGTAAAATTGATCGACCTAACTCCTGAAACGTGCAATTTGTTAGAAACTGCGAATCTGGGAGAGTACAAATTCTTGGTATCAGTATTTAGTCATTAACTTGAATTAATCATCAACGAGACTTTGTGTCGATTCGCAGGAAGAACAGGCTGGTGTCGATCCAATATCAGCAAGGTTTCCTGTCAGTACTCCAACGGACGTCGATGTCGACGCTAGGAGATTCGCTTTCCGTCCACCAAGATACCGTCGAGGACCCGGTGGTCCTGGCACCAATCTTATAGCCACTGGTCGACAAGACTCCTTACAGGGTGATCAGGAAGACTAGTAAGAATTCTTTAATCGAAAAACTTACAAATAAATCAAATCTTCCTCCCGCAGGGGGTTTAGATTGAACGAACGAACCGCTCGTTCGTTCTCTAGTTTCATGAAATTATAAAAGTTATAATAGAAGTATAAAACAATCATGATATTGATCAAGTTTGAAACAAATTTTGAAGTATGTATAAAAATTACGAAATATTTAATATATCTCTTCACGAAGATCATAAGAATATTTGAACAGCCACAGTTCGTCAATATCCAGTGAGATTAGCTTTAATAGTCATTATATGCTTAACATGACTACTTGTACTATATGTGTTATATATTAAATATCTTGTAACTTCTATGTACATTTTCAGATTGATTCTAAATTTTACCAATGTAATCATGACAGCTGCGTTCTCATAGTGTTAATAGAATTTCATACATAAGAAAATAGATAAGAATTTCTATAATAGATGATGGTATCATCAGCCACTTTATCAGCCATTGTAGTTCACTCTTCAGGACCGATGTCTGATCGTACTCAGGAAAATATTAATTTTATTTAATTATATATGAATCATTTAAAGCTCCAAAAATTTATTATTAAAAAATGATTGTTATTCGTCGATTATCAACCTACCTAATTATCAAAAAATCTAAATCATCAACGTCAGACGTCATTGTTGAGAGGAATTCCTGAATTCGACGAAATGAAGAACGAACGAGCATTCTAAGCTTTGATCAATCTAAACGCACCATTATTCAAACTCGTGTTACATTCGTTTCTTTTTATGAAAAAAAAAAAAAAAAAAAAAAAAAACAGCGACAAAGGAAGTGGTCATGGTATTCTGGAGTTCAGTACCGACAAAGCCGGCCAAGACGTAACACCATTGAACCTAGAGTTCGACGAGCCAAAGCAAAGAAGCTCCACGCTGAATTCCATAACCGGTGAGAGAAAAATCGCGTACATGGTCGATCGATTTTTTCTTTTTTTTTTTTTTTT